TACCTTTTTTTAGTGAGAAAGCAAAAATAAATATTAACAATTTGAATAGACAAAGTGATTCGCTTTTGGTGATACCCATTTAGTCACACAATCATTCGTGGGACTATCCAGTGCAGGACTTCATTAAAAAAAAAGTTGATATATTCTTCAATATTGAACTTCATCAAAATAAAGTGTTAGGCAACAAAAACAACTAGACACTTTATCTCTTTTCTTCATCATACCTTTGAGTAGCGTAGCTAAGAAGCGGCTGTTGCACACAAAGATGCCAGTCAAGAAATTATTCTGATCACATTGGGTCTCCATTTTATATTTATTCAAATTTACTAATTAAAACTTGAATGTTATTTTCTTTTAAAATCATCTTTTTAATATTTTTGTTTGTCATTTTTATAAGTCAAAACATACCTTACCTATATGGGTTTAAATAAAAGCTGATGACCCACTTGAACAGATGTGTAATGTAATAAAATAAATAAGTAGCACATTAAATTTACTTCAAATTCAAAGTAGTTTCAGCAAAAAACATATAATAAAAAATTTTCTCTTTTGAAGAAAATGCTAATTTTTAGAAGAACTGTTTCTTATAAATTAATGATCGTGCAGAGTTCTTTTTTTTATTCTAATTGTAGCAGGTCATATCAATTTTAAAAAATAATAAAACAACTTTTCTACAAAGCACTTTTTTGGCAGAAGTTTTGAAGTTAAATAGTAAAAACAGAAAAAAAAAGTTTTAACATTTTCTGGCAGTCGTGTAGCTCTTTTGAAGCTGTGAATTTTGGTTTCTTACTACTAGTCCTTAGACCCTTACATTATATTAAAATATTAAAACTGTGTGATCTTTTGTATGCACAACCTATTTTTTATATATAATTTAACTTAATCAAAGGCTATTTGACAAAATTTTTAAAATGTTACAATGAAAGGCCTTTAGTTGATTTGAACAAAATATGAATGTGACTAATAATTTTAACAGGGTTAATAATGTAGTGATGCTTAATCATGAAGTACTCTTGACCACAAATACTTGCCTGGCAACTAAACAAAAGGGAAAATATATATATATACTTTTTTTTCTGTTGGCATTACAGACCTTGTAGATCTTTTGCTGGCTTATCCATCTCTGACTATCTTGTGCTATTTCATTCAAGTTATCTGCATGCAGCTATTGCATCTTTGTTGATTCGATCTATCAACCTGGTTTTTGGCCTTCCACTTCATCTTCTGCCTAGTGTTGATACCTTCATTGCTGTGTAGAGGCTTCTTGATGGATTGATCCAAGTCACATGCTCTTCCCATTTTTTTTTTTTTTTTTTTTTTTAACACCACAAAAAGTCATGGATCTCCCTAAGGTAAAACGCTCATTATCCGGAGGTAAACTAGTCCCCCGTTCGGGTCTCCGGGTGGGGACTGCTTTAGGGGATTCATGGCGCAAGTTGAAATATAGGGATTTAAATATTGGTACGTGGAACGTAAGGAGTTTAAACACAGCAGGGGGTCTAAAATCGGTCGCGAATGAGGTAAATGGGTACAATTTGGATGTCGTGGCTCTGCAAGAGGTTCGCTGGCCAGGGGAGGGCTCGATGAGGGAAGGAAAGTACACTATTTGGTACGGAGGAAGCGGGAATCATTGTTTAGGTACCGGGTTTCTAATTAGGAGTAGCTTACTATCCGCTTTGAGGGACGTACAATTCTTTAGTGATAGAATTTCGGTAGCTACATTTCAGGGACGTTGGTTTAAAATCGCATTAATAAACATACATTGTCCGACCGAAGACAGTGACGATGAAGTCAAAAGTGAATTTTACGATAAACTCGAATGGGTTTATGATAAACTACCGCGAAACTACATGAAAATAATTGTAGGTGACGCGAACGCAAAGGTAGGAAGGGAAGAAGTTTATATTCCGACGATTGGTAAAGAAAATTTGCACGAATATAGTAATGATAATGGGATCCGTCTGATAAACTTTGCCATCTCGAAAAACCTGATAATTAAAAGTACGACGTTTAAACATAAGGATATTCATAAATATACTTGGACATCACCGGATTCGCAAACTCGAAATCAAATCGATCATGTCTTGATACAACACAGCTGGCAAAGCAGTATAATCAATGTACGGTCTTATCGCGGAGCAGAATGTGGGTCGGATCATGAATTAGTAATCGCGAAACTTCGTCAAAAACTTAATATAAAAAAGAGAAAAGAAAACCATTTCGATTTTGAGAATTTGAATTTGGAAAAATTAAAAAATCCATCAATTAGAAACCAATTCGAGCTGGATGTTAAAAATAGGTTTGAAGCTTTAGAGCTTCCTGACGAGGACCACGAGGATATTGACAAGTTATGGGTAGAGATCAGGGATAATATTAAAGCGGTCGGTAACTCGTGTCTAGGAAAAAAGGAAAATAAGAATAACAAACCGTGGTTTGATGAAGATTGCTTAAACATGTGCGAAAAAAGAAAAGCTGCTAAATTAAAAGCTCTAAATAATCCTAGCGAAGACAATCTGGAATAATTCAGAATCTCAAAGAACGAAACGACAAAATTGCTCAAAAATAAAAAAAGGGAGTACTTCTTTATATAAATAATAAAATAATTGAAATCGAAACTAATAGAATCGAAAATAACGTAAGAGACATGTACAAAGGTATAAACAGATCACGTAAATATGTAGGGCCCGTAACGTCTGGAATTAGGGATGATAATAATAATATTCTGACCAATCCGGTTGACATATTGAATAAATTTAAGGACCACTTTGACAATATTTTAAATACGGGAAATTATGATCTGTGTCCTCCTTCTGAGTACCAGAGTGCTGAACCGTTAATAGAAGGACCAAGTAAAGAGGAAGTTGAAATAGCTATCGGAAAATTAAAATCATATAAAGCAGCGGGAATCGATAATATTCCTACGGAACTAATTAAGGCATGCGGGAAAGCTGGAGTTTCTAAAATACATCGGTTGGTTAAAAAGATCTGGGTGAACGAGAAATTACCTGAAGAATGGAAAGAATCTATTCTTATTCCGATTCACAAAAAGGGTCCGAGGACGGATTGTAATAACTATCGAGGAATTTCACTCCTTCCGGTATGTTATAAAATATTCACTTTAATCTTAACCAGTCGAATCACGGAATACGCCGAGGAAATTATCGGAGACTACCAATGCGGATTTAGACGGAATCGTTCGACTATTGATCAAATATTTTCTTTACGGCAAATATTAGAGAAAAAATTGGAGTATAACGGTATTGTTCACCAGCTGTATATAGATTTTAAAAAGGCTTACGATTCTATTGACCGCCAGAAACTGTATAATATTCTAATCGAGCAGGGGATTCCAAAAAAACTAGTAAATCTAGTCAGGATGTGCTTGACGGAGACACTCAATAAAGTTAGAATCGGTAATAATTTGTCCGAAAAATTTGAGGTTCGTTCGGGCTTAAAACAGGGAGATTCTCTTTCGCCTGTCCTGTTCAATTTGGCATTAGAACATGCCATTAGGGAGGTAATGCGAACCGAGAAAGGGTTGGATCTGGGCGGGACAACATCATCCGTGCTGGGCTATGCTGATGATCTGGTACTGTTAAGCGAAGACGTTGAAACTATAAAACTAAATACGACAACGTTAATGAAAGCCGGTAAAGAACTAGGACTCGAAATAAACGTGGATAAAACAAAATATATGGTTAGCTGCAAAAATGGCGATACTACTGGTGATATCGATATAGATGGTAATATGTTTGAACAGGTAGATAAATTTAGGTATCTAGGTTCTACGATAACTAGAAAAAACGAAATTGAAGAAGAGATTAAGGTTAGACTGAAGGCGGGAATGCTTGTTATTTTTCTGTGACAAAACTACTTAGTTCGCGCCTCTTGTCCCGAAACTTAAAAATTAGAATCTATAAAACAATTATCTTGCCTACAGTTCTTTATGGATGCGAAACTTGGCCGCTTACATTAAGGGATGAGCAGCGTCTTAAGGTTTTTGAAAATAAAGTATTGCGTAGAATATTCGGACCGAAGAAGGATGAGTTAACCGGAGAGTTCAGACGGTTACACAACGCCGAATTGCGTGAGCTGTATCCGGGTAATATAATTGAGGTAATTTCATCGCGGCGAATCAAATGGGCTTGTAAAGTTGTTGGGCTTAGTAACGAGAGAATTCCTAAAAGGTTAATATTTGCTGTGCCGAATGGTAAGCGTCCGAGGGGTAGACCGAAGCGAAGGTGGGAAGATTGCATTAAAGCCGATCTGAAGGGACTGGGTTTGGACGGCGAACGGTGGAGGGAGGTGGAGGTGTGTAACAAGCGATTGGTGGTGTCGGCATCGAATCTTCGGGTTCGCTAAGCCTTATTATTATTATTATTATTTGTTCTTCCCTACCTTGCCTTTTAGGCTATACGGGATTTTCCTGGGCCGAGGGAGGGGGGAATTTAAAATCCCCTCTCGGCACCGGGACGTGAACTCGTATTTTTTAATCTTCTCAAATCTGTTATCCGGTTGCCAAGCAACTCGTGGCGCTTTAGCCCATTCGGCCACCCTGCCACCTCGATTTTTACATGCTGTTCTATTTCCAACCTTTGATCATTTATAGAGATTATCGTAGATACAAGGTATTTGAATTTGTCTTCTTTTGGGAACGATTTCCCTTCTACGCAAATCTTTTTATTGAGGTAAAATTTTCGGCTTATTACCATATATTTTGTTTTATCTTTATTTACTTGTAGGTCGATTTACTCTGCTTATCTTATCAGAGTCTTAGCTAGTTTCTCAATGTCCTCTTGGTTGCTTCCAAGAACAGCTATATCATCTTATAACCAAGGATTCAAGTGCAAAAATCATATAATTTAAATGATAATAGTTATGGAGTATTTCAGTACAAAAATAAGTTTTAGAAACTTTCAGTTTCTGTAAATGTAATTGTTACCCTTTTTATTGATTTACTAATTAATTATTTGTTTTGATTTTCAAATTTCTGTTTCTAGTTACTTCAAAAATATTAGAAAATGAACAGGTGAAACTTATGTTGGTTAAGGGAGGTCTTTTGAATGTTTCTTCATACTATTTGGACATGGTTGGAAAAGCTAATATTTTGTTCCATGCTCATAAGGAGGTATCTCAGTGCTTGCCAGATATTCATGACAGGAATATTGAAGAAATTCGTTATTCAGGTTGTATATCTTTATCATGATGTAAAGGCTTTAATTACTTAATAACAGCAGTCAATTATGAATGTATGTACCAAATAGCAAAATAACTGGCACACCTGTTATTTTGTTGTTTGCTCCTCTCTAGTGCAAAGAATATAATTTTTTTCATATGTTTCAAGTAATGTGTATATTCCATGAGGTACAGCTGGAAATTTATTAATAAATACCTGTAAAAAAAAAAAAAAAAATTACGAAATCTCAAAAGCTGTAAAAAGTCATCAAATTTCATTCTGGAATTTTTCTTTATTAACCTTTTCGCTGCCGCGAGTGACCAGCTTTACGTCTAGCACAGTGCTAACTTAGACAGCTAACCATCTACTGACCCCTGCTACATACTTTTTACCTGTTTTCCACCCTTCATTACTAGCTCTTATTACTATATGTTAACCTTATTTTATTGTTTCTATTCCCCTTTTTGATTCAGGCTGTAGACTGACACTTGCGGAGTTAAAACTTTTTTATTTTATTTTTTTATATGTTTAAATATTTATTTAATAATTTAATTTTGTGGTGTGGTATTCTTTGAAGCATTTGTGAACACAAAGAGAAACCTTACAATTGCAACATTTTACCTTGGTTTCGCACTGAATATTTTTTTTTATATTATATTTCTTTTGGCAGTAGTAATGAATGCAGCTACTTCTGAAGCAGTAAATCACTGTTTCTCCATTTTAAAGAAAATAAGAAAAAGAAAAACGAATAACTTCTAACTAAAATAATAAATTCTATACGTAAGTAAATAAACTAATCCTATTTGATCTAATTTCTTACTTAAATAACTAGACCAAACTAAATAACATTTTTATAAACTCAGAGCAGTTGAATGTGTATTGCTTCACACAGAAGGCAAAAACAAGAATGAAAATGGTCGAGACAGCCAGAGAAAGTACATAACAGTTCATGTATTCTACAAGAAAAGCCTCAAAATAAATCTCCACACCATTTGTAGGCTCTAGTTAAAAGCTTTCTTTCACTATCAAACCAGTAGAATGTAGCAAGGTCAGCACAACTATAGCCGACATTAGTACTGAGGGCAGGAGTAGGGTACGCTGGCTATAGCCGTCTTTAGCAACAGAGGCATGTTCTGTTGCGTCAGCTATAGCCGTCATTAGCAGTAAAACAGTTAATAAAGATAATTGTTTTTGTTAATACAGGGTGTGATGAGTGATATCTTCTTTATACAGAGGGTGATATCTTCTCTTGTTTGTATGACTACCTGTATTCTCTTCAGCATGTAGATAATAAAATTTGAAACCCTTTGCTTTGTTATTTCGCCAGAACATCAGGGTTTTTGTGCTCATCTTCTTCTAAATTTTTTTCGGTCCCCCATTGGACTGATATAAGGGCCTTATTTTATCATGATTCATAAAGTTTCACTTGGAATATTATTTATATCAATAATAAATGGGCTAATCAATCGCCATGGAATCGATGTAAACATAAATGTGAGTAAAATTGATACATTGGTCTTTGCTCAAATTTATGTTTATGCAGAGCCATTGAAGATTGATTGAAGCATTTATTAGCAATAAAAATAATATAAAAAGCGAAGTTCTTAGAATCTCGATAAAATAATGTTGAAAGGCCGATATGTCGGTTCAAGAGGGTGACAGAAAAAATTGGTAGCAGTGCACAAAATAAAAAAATAAGAAATCAAGCTCTACTAATCTTGATAAAATGAGATTGTGAGGCCGATATGTTAGTCTTAATATTATCGGTATCTACCCAAATCAGGGGAAGGGGAGGGCCAGCAAAACAAATTAGTCAAACTCTACCAATCTCAATAAAATAAGGTCATAAGGCCAATATTTTGGTCTTTGCTCAAATTTATGTTTATGTTGATCCATAGACGAGTGTTAGACACAATTGGCGTTTGTTATCGGCATATACCAATAACGAGGATATGAATATTGGTATCGGTAGATCTCTAATTGCTTCAGATTGCCAAGTTAAGGTATGGAAAAGGTAATTACAGTGTTTTGTACAGTGTAATATCTCTGAATAGATTAATTTCAGAGATGGGTCAACATGGTTTGGGGTAGAATCATTTCAGAGTCAAAATCAGATTTCCATTTTGGTTTCTTACTTTCAATAATGAACCATTGTGATCGAACAAAAAATTCAAAAACTTAACCCCTCTCAAAATTTGAGGTTTTATGTTTCAAGATACTTAGAATTCGAAAAACAAATAAAAATTTTTTTGTCGGTTTGCCATACGCCTTCCGCGCATTTTCTCCAAAACTACTGGACCGTTTTTTTTCAAATTTGGATTTAAAATTAGAGGTCATTAGGAGGATCATCCTCCTTCATCGACATTTCTATCTGCCTTTTCCTTTCAAGATGGCGGACCTTAGAAATCTGCGTTGCCATAGACTGTAGCGCCTAAACGAATGTACAGATTTCAATGAAACTTCGCTAAAGTCTTCTTGTCGATGCCCTTTAAATTTATCTATATAACATACTTCAACGAAAAGAAACTGGAAAAAAAGTTACGAGGGATGGTAAAATTAGATTCTGAATAACTCAAAAAGTATACATTTTTTGTCAATATTGTATGGTTATTTAAAAGATTACGGAATTTCCTAAAAAAAAAAAAAATCGGACAATTGGGAGCAAAGATATGGTCTCTAGATGTTTTTTGTATGTTATACTGCAAAGGTTATATCCTTTGTTTTGGTTTTTGATTTTTGAATGTGTTACTGAATTAATGCTAATTATTTTAGCATATTACTCATGATTGTAAAAAATATGTTTAGGCCAATAATTGGAATCACTTTTTATTATTTTTTCTTTGTTACTAGGAAGATACTGTTACTTTAGATACATAATTGTTTGGAAATATACCATTGTGATATAATTTGCAGCTTTTTTTTTCCCCCCAACTTTGTGTAGTGTAGTACCATTCACTCCTTAAATCAGCGATGCTTTCAATTTTGACATGACAAGGCTCGGTCACGTGTTGTCAATGTGGTTACCGACTACCTCAGTACATAAACTTCAAGGGACAGCTCGTAACCTGAACATTTCTTGCTGAAGATTTATAGGACAAGCTAGGGAGATGTATCCAAAGGCAGAAAAATTACACTATATAAACAAAAATCATTATCTTTATCACTGAAGAATTTAAGGCTTATCTGGTGAGGTTGGGTTTGAACAGCAGACATTGGATAGAAGAATGTAGACAGCTATTGGTGGGTCAGCTCGTAGCCCAAACCTCAATATTGCTGAATATTTATGGGACAAGCTAGGGAGGTGTATCCAAAGGCTGAAAAATCTCTACAGATTTCTAACAACCCAGAGACGTGCTTGTGAAGAAATGGGGCTTCATCTAATAGAAAGAGTTTCCAATTTAAACAGCAAAATGCTGAAAATACTATAATTGGTCATGCAGACAAGGGGAGGTATCACACTATTAACAAAAATAATTATTTTTATCACTGAAGAATTTAAGGCGTTGAGGCTGATCTGGTGGGGTTGGGTATGGATGGGAGACGAATGGAAAAATGGCTGATAATATTATCAGCATCGAACCTTCAGATTCACTCAGCCTTATAATTATCATTTCTGAAGAATTTAATAAAGAAAGATTCCAGAATAAAATTTTATTATTTTTCACAAGTTTTGAGAATTTGTAAATGAAATTGTTACTACATACAGATATTTCTTAATAAATTTCCATCTGTATCTCATGGATTATAGAATTTATTTGGCAAATACAAAAAAATTAAATTCTTTGCGCTAAATTGTACGGTATATGGGGGCGTCTCTGGGGATCTCGAGGTGAAACTAAAACCCTTGATAAATTGCTTTGTACGATTCATCTTCGGGATCCCAAGGGACGCCTCTGTTTACCGTTTTTATGTATAGTTGAAGTGGCTTTACCCTTCCTACCGCCGTAAGTATTTCCTGTCATCCTTCCTCTTTCAAGTCATCCAATCCCACCGACCTTCATACATCTCCGAGCTCATCCAATTCAAATCCTCTGTTCGCTCCCGCAATACTCGTTCCAGGTCTTCTGATTTATACATAAGGGCCCACCGAACCGCTGCTTTCGACAGATCATTCATTATCCGATCCTCATCCTTATGGAACTCCATCCCTTCCCACATCCGTAAATCTAATACCCTTCCTATTATTAACTGATTAAAATTAGAAAGTAACTTACAATTTTTCATTTTTTTACTATGACTGTTTAATTACCCTGTATTTTTATTTATGTATCTCTAAGGCTCCTTATCCCATATTTATGTCTTTCTGTATTATTCTAAAGGGACTCATCCCAGAATAAATAAAATATTATTATTAAAGAGGGAAAAACAACAAAGTACCAGGCGCTTTTTTTTTTCCTGTTTAGTTTTATATATATATATATATATATATATACTAATATAACAGCATCTTTGGTGTGAAATATAATTATATTTTTTATTGATTCAATTCAAATCCTTTCCTTTTAAAAATTGTTACTGATGATTTTATATTTTGACTTATTTTGTTTAAAAATAAAAGGAGTGGGGTATACTTATCTGAAGAACTGCTAGATTATTGAAATTAATGAATAATGAAGAAAAACAATTCTTTTTTCAATGAATAAAATACATTTTCATTGTAGCCAAAACTTATATACACTGTATATACACTGATATACACTGTATGTCATGATCAAGGAATTAAATCATGATTAGAACTATATTTGTCAACTTTAAATTCAAATCTTATCACTTAATCTCATAATTCTTAAAATACATTAACATTTTAGGTTCTGAAGCAGCCAGAAATATTGTACATAAAGCCAAAGAAGCAATCCTTTGTTATAAAAAGTCATCCAATATTGAAAGTGCTCCTCCACCTCCATATTCAAGAATACCCAACTTTCCAGCTCATTCAGTTCTCGGAAATGTTCCTGAATACAGTGGGGATAGTACAAGCCAATTTACATCGTATTCCAATGTACTTCAGAACCAAGAAGTTAATGCGTAAGATATTATTAAGACCTTTGTATGGTTTATTGTTGATTAACCTTGAAAAATGTATTGATGTATGGTATCTATTATTACAAATTTTTAATAACTCTTTAAAATTCATGATTTTTACTCCAGTATTTTTTTTATTTTAAGATATTCCAGTCAAAGACGTTCTTATTTCCCTGCTCAGTATGACCTGCCACCATCAGATAACAATAGTTTGGAAGGAGCTGTTGGAGGAGTAAATATTACTGGGGATCAAGAATTATCATACAGACGATATTCAAATATATAAATTTGATTCAGACTTGGACTTACATGTACTTTTATTCTTCTCTGTTACTAATATGCTCTTAAAAAAAAAAAATCTAATGCTCTGTGAAGAATAACACACGTAAAGTTTCGTTTTCAATCTTAAAATATTGAATATAACAACAGTTTAAATTCAAAACTATTTTGATGTTTGAATGAATGGATGAAATATCACAAAAGATAATGTTAAAAGTTTACATTAGGTTTTTCCTCTCTCTTCTTCCCCTCTCCCCCCCCCCCTTCCGCACAGGTTTCGATTTATAAAGAGTTTATTTGTAATTCAAATTATATAACGTTAATTCCTCAGTTTGTGTGATCATTTTGGCTTGGGTATGATCATGTATAAAATAAGTACACATAATGCCTATTGTAATATGTCCACACAGATATATGTATATTGATATATATTATGTATATATTTCATATATATGATTCATTCATTTCATCATTCATCATACATATATATGATTGAAAATCTGATCAATATTCATTCAATTCCTTGCAGCATTCTAAAGTATGATTTAGCTTCTTGTTGTTTGTTATCTGTTTATTCAGTTGTTGATAATTCCTGGAATAGAAGTAAAGTATCACCTTATGGATATAATCTATCAAATTTGGGTTACATTCAATATTTAGGAGCAGTACCAGCCTTAAGGCTGGGCAATCGGTGCTCTGGAGCACCAAACTGGAAGGGGGCGCTCCGCCACTATAAAATATATATATATATATATATATATATATATATATATATAATTACATTACAAATTCTACCCAAACCGTTCGTTTGTTTCTATTAGTTTCTATATCTATTATTTTATTTTTAAGATACACTTGTTTTTTTTATTTTTGAACAATTTAGTCGTTTCATTCTTTAAGGTTCAGAAGTGCACAAGAGTGTATTCGCTTGGATTGTTTAGAATTTTTAATTTAGTGACGTTTATTTTTTCACACATGTTCAGAAATGCTTTATCAAACCACGTTTTTTTTTTATTTCCCCTTTTTTTCTAGACAGGAGTTACTGACTTCTTTAATATCTTCCCTGATCACTATCTGTAACTTGTCTATATCATCATGATCCTCACCAGAAGATTCTAAAGCTTCTAACTAATTCTTACCTTCTACCTCAAATTGATTTCTAATTCTTTTGTCATATATTTTAAGTTTTTTTCTGAGTTTCACGTTTACTAATTCATGATCTGATCCATATTCTTATAGTATATTTATGAATATCATTATGTTTGTTTACCAGCGTTCCTGAAATATGGACTCCGAAATCATATCAATAAAGAATTGTATGACCCTCAAAGCTTAGAAATCCGGTACCTAAACAATGTTTTCCGCTTCCTCCATACTAAATAGTGTGCTTACCTTCCCTTATGGAATCCTCCCCTAGCCATATAACCACTTACAGTGCCACAATACCAAAATTGTGTCCCTTATGGAATCAAGTTATAAATTAACAAATTTAGTACTTAACCTTCCCCCTCCCTCACCCACAACTTTAATCGTTTTAGTTGAACTTAAACCATTGGCCATACTTATTATTAACATGTGATTTTTTACATAATTTCGTGGAATATTATATAAGTATATTATTATTTTAACAAATGTATATAAAATAATTTATATTGAATTTGACAAAAAAAATTAAAATGTTATTGGTTTTAAAATTAAAAATTACTGGTTCATGATAGACCCTATAATATAATGATTGTATAATTTAAGATGCTGAAGAGGGGGACAGAGATTCCCTGAAGCGTTCATTAATAAATAATAATGAAAAGCTAAGTGATTTTTCATTAGATTGACCTATAGGCAAATACTTACGATCCATGTACCTATACTTAATTCTCTAATTTTCAACTTGCGCCATAGATCCCCCAAAACAGTCCTCACTCGGAGACCTGAACAGGGAACTAGTTTACTTCAGGATAACAAGTCTAGAAGGTCATTCTCATTGCTGGTCGGAGAGTCCATCGGACCTAACCAGGAGAAGCTTCCACCAACCATCCCCACTTGTCATCTGTGGGACACTCCCCTACGTGGTAAGGAAATCCTTGCAAGGTCATACTTTGCCTTAGTTTTATTAATTGGGAGTCCCATTTTTAGTGCAACAATTTCTACACCATCCACAGATGCTAATGACTGATTTGTTTGCTAGAATCTCCAATAATCATCTGCAAATTAGTAGCAGGTAATAAAGAATCTCCTTGTCAAATTCCTTCTTCAATAAATACAAAATAACTGCTCTCTAAAAAGTTCTATCTGATAAACAACGATTTTTATAAATTAAAAAAATAGTTTTTTTTAACCTATTTCCCTATAAATTATCTATCTGATTTAAATTAAGTTTATACTTGTGTTAATTTAAATAAAAGTTCAAGAATTCTTTGTAGACTTGCTGTGTAAAATCGTGAAATGTTAGCAATTTCGATCATTTTTTCATCATTTACATCATTAAATCATGTTGAAATATTCACATCGAATGCACATCACATCCTCTTCTAATGGTATGACAGGAAGCCTTCCGTAAGCCAATGAGTATCGATGACATCTATATTGTGCCTGATTTATAATTATTTGACTGTTTTCGAGCTATGAGGCCTGATCTTTTTCTCCTGCAATAATGAAATCATCTTCAACCTATTTTTCCGAGTTCTATGCTATCTCTTCCGAAGATCTACTATTATTGACTAGAATCATAAAATATTCTTCCCTACTTGCCATTGCATCTCATAGTATACTGAGAATATTCCTTTGATATGATTTAATGGAGGTTCTTTCTCCCACAAGTTTCAAATAGTGTGGTAAAAGAGCTTTTAGTTTTCTTGGAAACTTTCTTTCAATCACTTACCAAGATCTGCCCAAACATTCTCTTAGAGCACAAAACCAATGCTTTGCCCTTTTCTTGCTACATTGCATAAAAAGTGTAGTTTTCTTCTGTGGCCTTGTTCAAGTATTATCTTTAGTAAACTTTCTTCTTTTTAATTTCTTACTTCTTTTCATTAAGTCATTTAATCTATGATATTTTATTAGATATTATTCACATCAAGGTGTTATACAACAGATTTATGTTATTTAAAAATCTATGATTTAGGTATTTAAAAACTGTTTCTAGTCTCTTCAGTTACCCTGAGTCAGTTTTAAAGAAAACAAGGTATCAGTTTGGTAGGCATTCAAATCTGTATTGTGTATTGCGTGTGTCTTAAGCTATAAACAAACCAGGGTCGTAGATCTATTTTACTTAATGAAACTTTTTATATGCTGTGGTAGACTACGAATACAAAAGAACAAAACTCAAAAAGAGACATAAATTTATTGCCACGATATAATTTGAAAATTCCAAACACAAAGCTTGAGTCTCTAAAATACCAGTAAGCAAGGCCAGTTAACCTTTGGCTGATTCAGGCATTATTAGGACAGCAAAAAACAGATTAAATATATGCTAACCAAGTATAGCACATCTTACATCAACAGTTTAACAAAACATACATCAAATAGAGGCAGTGCATCACTCCAAGATATCTAATCACCTGAACTAATTTACTGGTGCTTTAGAGACTCAAGGTTTAGCATTAAGATTTTTCCTAGTGGTAGTCTATGTTATTAATTTCATTATCCACTTACAAGGAGATGATACAGTCTGTGGGTCACCGATTTTTACCAAATTTTTTATTCAAGCTATAAATTAAGAAAAACTTCTAACCTATTTTTATTTTATTTCTTTAGTTTTAAGTTGTTTATGAAGGTCAGGTTTATACCATTTCGTGTGGATCGGTTTAGCCCTTCTAAAGTTACCACAAGTTTTGTGGTTGCTGACAAAATTTGGAAGGGTCCAGCCTAGGCTAAAATTTCGTGCAGAAAATTTTAATTTTTCAATTGCTATAAAAATTCGTATTTAAGGAATATTTTTGGAAATCGTATTTGAGGAGCGAAAAACAAATATCAACTTTGTTTCTCTCTAAAAAAATATTTTTGCTGGACCTTTCAAAATTTCATCAACAACCACAAGACTTGTGACCACTTTAGAACGGTTTCACAGGTCTACAAGAAAATGAATAGAGATTTAGGCTTCTGTGTGCTACACAAAATGGTATAAACCCGACCTATGTTAACAAATTAAAATAAAGATAAAATAAAAATAGGTTAAAAGTTTCTCTTAATTTCTAGCTTTAAAAAAAAAAATGAAATCCAAAAGTTATTGATGTCAGTTGGAAGAGCATTAATTCAGCTTTCCAACAGTTATATTAAAGTTGAATTTTAAGAAAATCCTGAGGATTTATGAATGCTTTAGTTGATAGCCAGAAAAAAACATCCCAGAAATTCAAGTACTAAAGGTTGTATTTTTTTATTTGTATAACAATTTGTATTTAAGAGTTTTAAAGCACCCTAAAAAGTAAACAAAAATTTACTTGGCCTTCTTTACTGGAAGCACCTTTTGGTTTTTGTAATTTATGGTACATTATAACTCATTTAATACAATACAATAGTTAGTTGTTTTTTTTCTTATGCTGCACAAAAGAACAAAAACAATTGATATATAGTAACTTAAACATCAGGGCTAAGAAAAGGCAAAAACAAATAACATAAATTTTGTTTTAAATTATATAATATTTTTTTATGGGCTTCTATGGCCCATTGGCTAGAACGCCGGAATATGTGTCTAATATTTTTCGATTTAGTATCACAAAAAAATTATTTTGTTGAAATCAGTGACCCAGAGGCTGTATCCTCTCCTTGTTAGTCTTTGTTTAATTGTTGTTGTAAATTCTCAGATTACTAAAATTATTGCTGTAATAATTATAAGATTCTTTGTAAAAATGATATTAAAATTTGTATTAAAAGTTTTATATGTTTGTAAATTGATTTATATTTTGCTATAATAAACAGTGAAAGTTGTTTCTAAGTATCCATTTATTTGTTATAATTTCAATGTTTGATGATTTCAAATTAATACCTATGATTGAACAATTGTTAATTATCATATCTTGTTATTTTTTCAATGATTTTTGTAACATAAGTTATATATCACCCCCAATCAATTCGTCATGTGTATCTGTAGCACTCAGAATAAAAAGAAAAAAAAATGATTTAGCAAATCATAACTCAGAAACTGTAATGGTTACATTACGGTTTCTTATATTTATCTCAACAGAGAACCTAATACGCTGGTGAAGCTGGATAGCCCAGTAACCTTGTCATGAAAAGGGGAGGTCTAAGTTGCATGGAATAGGAGTAGATGGCTTTTTTTTTCTTGTATGTGACATGACCGAGATGCAAAATCCAAGTTTTCGACCTCGACGCCCCCCCAGGATCACTTTTGAAAATCCCAAAAACTGCCAATTTTTCGGTTTTTCTCCATTTTGACCATGGAGGAGCACATTTACCACATAAAACACTGTATACATTTTTACACTAGATTAAATATGCTACAATTTAAGACCAGAACAGGCTTAATAAATCAAAGAGTGTTTGAGATTCAGGTTTTCGAACTTGAACATTGTAACCTATTTTTAGTGTTTGATCATATGTATATCATCAATAACCTGACTTATATGATTCAATTAGGTAAATTTTTAACATTTTGAAGGGGGGAGTTTCCAGTTTGTGCCCTATGCCTGGTGGGACTTCCGACTAACTATAAGGGTTGCCAAGTATACAAGAATCTCAAAACCAGATACCAGAAGACGCGGATTCAAGATGAGACAACCAGACCAAGAAGAAAATCTTCTAGAATAGTGAACAATAGTGTATCATTCTCCCAACTACTTGGAGGTAAGAACCAATCCAATACATGTGAAGTCTAGCCACAACAACCTAAACCCAACCTCAGTATCACATCCATCCTAATATACCTCACCAACATCATATTCCTCCTTCAAATGCTACAGATCTCACCAGTCTGTTTGTATCTTTTCTCACAGACTTCAAATCTCTTGTTATTCCACTCATATCACTCCTTACAAATCTCATCTCACCTCATCCCTCCTTAAATCCTTAAATGATTTCCACCGAATCCTTATCCATCCTCCTTTGAAATTTAAATGCTGTTAGAAATCCCGTTGACGAATTAACAGCTTTACTAATAGACAAGAATGTCAACTTAGCACTAAATACGGAAACTCGTCTGACCAGAAAACAGCGTTTAAAAATACCACAGTACATAACATACCCTACTGACCATCCTGACAGAAGAGCACACGGCGGCTCTCCTGTCATACACCAATCCCTCTCTCATCGCCTACTCCCATTATGTATTCAAGATTTCCTACAATCCACCACCATTGTAATCAAAACCTCCTTTCCCGTCACCCTAGCATCATTATATTGCCCTCCTAACAGATCTATATCCATTGTCCAGTTCAGTTATCTCCACAACTCCTTAGGACATCACTTCATGCTTGATCCAGACTTGAACGCCAAGCATCAAGAATGGGGTTCAAGAACCACGAATTCTCGGGGTAGAACACTGCTATCTACATTCCATTCCCAACGTTCAACATTTCAGCCTCCTTTCTCCCAACTCACCTACCTACTGGCCCACTGATCCTAACTGTAATCCTTATATCCTTGATTTTTTTTTTATCAACAGTGGTTTAGGTCTCTTCAATCATTCCTTTACCTGTCTTGATGAACTTGTCTCAGATCATAGTCCAATAATTCTCCAATTATCTGTTGTTCCTATTTCTAAATCGTTTCTACCGTCCTTCATCAGAGGCCTAGTTAACTGGAAACTTTTTCATCAAATCCTTTCCAATAAAATTGACCTAAGAATAGCCTTGTAAACCCCAAAAGACCTTCACAAGGCCGTATATTCCTTCACCAACACCATTCAACGAGCAGTATGGACTACTTCCTCTCCAAATCATTCCTCAAGAACCACTAAGAAAAATAATTTACCCCAACAACTCATAGACCTAATCCACACCAAACGTTGTGCTAGCTCATTATGGCAAATTACCAAACATCGTACCGATCGTCGCTCCTACAATTATTACTGTAAACGGTACTTGTGAGCGAAGCGGCCTCTATGGACTGCTATCTACAGTTATCTTGTTATTTAAAATGTTGTTGGTATTTATATTTCTTATTATTAAATGTTTATAACCTGAACACATAATTGTTATAAGGCACTGATATTCCCTGTCTTCATATGAAATTGAGTATTGACTGTCGTTCAGCTTTACCGTTACTTTGACTACTATAAGGCATAGTATATTCCAACTTGATTCCTTTTTGGCTACAAAAATTTTTAAAATGGTTTGAAGTATACTCGCCACCATTGTCAAGTCTTAAACGTTTTACTCTTATGTTATGTTGTGTTGTCTTTCTGTTGCTGCAATATAGTCCTTTAAATTATTTTCTGCTTCACTTTTAGTTTTTAATAATTTTACAACTACAAAGTGAGAATAATCATCTAAGAATACCTGTATATATTTGTGACCTTCAGATGTAGGTGGGGTAATTGGTCCACAAATGTCAGAATGTACAAGATCTCCTATTTGTCAAGAATTCCTCTCTTGTCGATAGAACGGTTTTCTTGGAGCCTTCGCCTCTACACAACTAGGACATACTTCATTATTAAATGGAAGTTGTAATGTTTTTAAGCCACGTCTGTTTAAATGCCCCAGACTTTGATGCCATAAATTTTTATTTTTTATGTTTTGTTTTGTAGAATTTTCTTTGTTTTTATAATCACACACGATTACGCGAGGATCAATAACAATTGTCAATACACTGGACCCATAACCTGTTAATAATGGTTAGGGTTTCTTTAAGAAACAATCACAGACAATAAGAAACGTTTATTGTGAAATAACACTACATTGACATCACGTCTAACAGTGTTGCCAGTTACAGTGTTGTATGTAGTATATACAATAACAAATAACCTTAATTAATTAATCCTAATAGTTACCACCTAAAACAGTTAATTCTTCTAAGGTCAAATACCTTTTACGTAAAGTCATTCCTCCTAAGTATCCTGCTGTAGTATGTCTTTATTTAAATAATAATCACTAGAAGATGATTACAGTTTAATTAACAAGCTTACACATCTAGATTCATATAACCTCACCATCTGTTATCTTTACTTACAGTACTAGCATATATACATTACCTTATTTTACATATCTTAACATTTCCCATCTTGAAGTCACTCTCTCCACCTTGGTGCTCTCACCAGCCTCCCTGCTCTGGTGACAACCATCAAACAAAGTTTCATCCTCATCCTCTGGCTGTTCTTCTTCAGTATCATCTCCTTGCTGCTCTTCTTCATTACCTTCTTCTTGCTGTTCTTCTCCTCCCTCTGCACCTTGCTGCTCTTCTTGGCTACCATTGTACTTTAAAAGAGGTTTGATGTGCTTTCTATTTCTGTCTATGACTCCCCCACCTTCATCCTTTTGCAAGCAATATGATCTTGGGCGATCCATCCTCCCGATCACTTTGGCTGGAACCCATTCCGAAAATGGACTTGTCTGCACCTGAACTTTTTCTCCTACCTGCAAGTCTCTGAGAGGTTTTGTCCCTCTGTCATAATAACCCTTGCTTCTTTTCTGCCTCTCTTGAAGTATCTTCTTTATCTCACTTTCCTTTACCACCTTTGATTGTAAATGACTATTAGTTTGGGGGCAAGACTCCTCTCAGGCTTCTACTCTTCAGCAGAGGTGGACATATCTGTAAATGGTGAATTATTTAATTCGAGCAAGCACAGAAACGGATCAGTTCGAGCTTCTAGTGATTTCTTTAGCATCCTTTTAATGGTTTGTATATGACGTTCTACTAATCCATTTGCCTGTTGATGCTTTGGGCTGACCTTAACACCTAATCACACAAATTCGGTAATAGTTTACATGATGCCCGCAGTCTTTTGGGATGGGTTGGGGGCGCTTATCCTCAATGATAGTTCCTGGTTAGGTTAGATTACCCGCCTAGCAGTTGTTGCCCCCACTACTCTTCTCCTTTCCCCTACTTTTTGAAATTCCCGCGACTACCCACCATCCTGCACTTCAAGTTAATTTTTGACAGTATCCAGTTCCTTGTTCCTCTACATACATATTTTTTTGAAAATCCTACGATTCTCCCGCCATCATCATTTTCCAGTCATTAATTTCATTTGCATTTAATCTTCAACTGTTAGTTGCTATTTCATTTCTGGTGTCAGATCATGCTTTTGTTCAGTTTCATTGTTAAAAGATATAAATGAAATAATAAATAGTTTAATAATGTCAAAATATATTGAAAATAAAAAAACAGCAATGTTTTACTTAAAACAACTACACAATTCTATTAATAACGACTTTGAAATGGGAGAAATACCTAATAGCTTTTATTTATCCATTATATTCCCTGTTCATAAAGTAGAGGATAAGAATGACACAATGAATTACATGGGCATCAAGTTTGAAAACCCAATAGTTAAATTATTGGTTTACACATTAATAGCCAATAACTAGTTAAAGAATATAGGCAGCATTTAGGAAATATTATTCTATTAAAATCTTACTTATTATAATTATCTTAAATTTGCAGAAGAAAGACAATAAGGCACATGTTATACTTTGTTTGATATATTTCGCTATCTGCAAATGTATAGTTCACTACTAGGCATTATATTACAAATTGTAACACAGGAGTATCAATCAAAATTGTTAAAATAATAATGAGCTTAAACCTTAAACAAGCAGTGGAGTCAATAAGGATTGACAGAACTCCTTGAAATATTATTTGGGATATAGTATGGGAATAATGTATATTATTGTAAACAGTAAAATTGTATATCACATAATAAAATGTTATTATTATTAGGGAATAATTGAATAGGTTATTTCAAAAATGACACATTTATACCACTTTTGAGTTAAGAGCTGTTCAGGGTGCCTTATTCGCAGAAGCATCTTTTAGTAACAGAAAACACATTACATAACTAATGTAAAGATTGATTGTTTATCC